ATGGGCGGGAAAAACTTTCACTCTGGGATCACTAGGAGGATGCTAAACAGGATTATTATCAATTAATGTATAATACACAATTAAGTTTTCAATTAAGTGCAAAATTTCTCATGCAATAATAATCTTCTCCCCCAAAATTTGTTGGCGATATAGCAATTTGAATAACAGAGTCTGATGAAATTATTCAAAAGTGTTTGTGTGGATATCAATTCCGTCAATCAATTACAATTATTCGCAAGTAATAATCTTATTTTTGTTGAATTATTTCCATTAATTTTCCTAATTTCATGTTTTAATAATTTAGGGTTTTCATTGTTTGATTTTATAGAGATTCAATTTATGTTATTTTAATTTAGATTTGTGTATTTTTAATCGTTTCATCTAAATGTTATTTAACTGAAGAAGGAGTGTTTCTGGGTACATTGTAATAGAATATATTGTTAAATGAAATCGAGGTTTAATTAGTGTCAATAATATATTATTTTACAGGATATTTTTGTTAAATGTAGGATCATATTTCCAATAATATATTAAATATATTATTTTATAGGATCTTTTGTTATTTTGTAGCATCTGAAATAAAATACAATAGTGTATTTGTTATATTATGGCAGTGAAATGGAAAGCGAAAACTAGTTCCCGTTTGAAAACTTAACTTAATGAAATGGTAAACGATGTCATTAACTCAATCCAAGATGCAGAATCAAACAATGTAACAAAAGAAGCAGCAGTTATGCCATTCGATCATAATGAAGAGGTTGAGGTTAATAACAATATGGGTAATGAATAGGTTGAGGTTAATAACAATATGGGTATTTAAATCAAGATTATTATGAAAATCACTCAAACAGAGAAGAACAACCTAGTCCTACTCCATTTGTGGATATGGTATTTGGAAGCGGTGATGTAGGCGTCGTTTGAAGTGCGCCTACGTTTTTTTAAAATGCTTGGGACTCTTAGGAAGTGGGAATTGACATATACGATTAGGGAAAAGGAAAGTAGGGAGCCGCCAACAAGTTTTGAAGGAACTTGTAAACCATTCACAGATCATTTAAGGCAACCACGATTAAGGGACAAAGATAGGCAACAACGATTGACCCGTGAAGGTTACACCCCATTCATAATCCATGAGATTACTAACTCCATATGGTTCGAAACCACGAAAGGGAGGATCGGGGATGATGGTACGAAGTGAGTCATGGAGTCACATTCGCCCGTATTTGCCTCTACTCGATTCTTATAGCAAAAGTGATTCATGTGATCTCAAAGGCATGCAAACAAAATATTCAATTTGCTTCAAACTATTATTATGCTAAATTGGTTAAATATTAATGCAACACATAATTCTAAAATTTGTGATCACTTGATTTAATAACAAGATTATAAAGGAACCTTAACCGGTCGTCCAAATTATCTTATTAGGTGTGATTTTCAATTACATTTTCCCTTTTAAACATGAACTATGGTGATCATAAATAATAATAGAATAAACATTAATATCGGAAGCAATTTAACAATAATCCAAAAATATAAAATCGTTAGAAAAATAATATCAATAAAAGAAACATAATTCTTACTTTGATTTTGCTTGCTTGCAACTATAAAATAATAAACGAGTTAGTAACTTCAAGGAAATAAATAAAACTATAATTAAATTAAATTAAATATAGTTGATTTGGGGCCAAACCCTCAAACAATTCTACCTTTCACGCCTTGGTTTAAGGATAGAACCTCGAGTAAAGTACGAACTCCTTGGACTACTTAAGGAAGGAATTTTTAAAGAATAGGGTAGGCTAGTGTTTAGGCTAGAGCATAGAAGAGAGAGGAGAGAAATAATTGATTCCCCGAACATCGAAAATAAGAGGGTATTTATAGGGAAAAATGAGCAGAGGGAACACACGGAACCCTAAAAGGGATAAAAACCCTTAAAACACTGCCGCGACACCGCAAATAATGCCGTGACACGCCAAATTATACCGTGACACGAAGGATCCTGGAGTGACGCGGGACAACTTGGTGTGATACAGGACAAAAAATAGGCTATAGTAAGAAAAACGCTTAGGTTTTATGCAGAGAAAACGCGAGAAAATTCCGTGACACGGTACAGTACACCGTGTCACGGTAAAAAAGCGCGTGAGAAAAATGCGGAAATGACACGGAAAAAGCAACGTGTCACAGTATATGTAACGCGACATGGTACAGATTGAAGTGACACGGTACTAGCTGCCGTGCCACGTCAGATATTGCCGCGACGCGGCAAATTTGCTGTTGTGCGACATTCAAGTTTATTACGCGTTTAAAAATTATCATAACTTTTGATCTGCAACTCGTAATAAGGCATATAATATATCATTGGAAATATTATCAAGTCTACTTTCTAATCCAATTTTTATCATCAAAATCATTTGTAGATTTTAATATATGGCCGTTTTAGTGAAAGGGTGTTGATTTTAAGCCGAGTTTAGTATTTTACTCATATCTTCTTCGTTTTAAATCGGAATTGGGCTTATGATATATTTTTGGAAATCTTATTTCAAGGCCTATAATACCAAATAATAAATGGATCAAAATTATAAGGCAAAATAATCAGTTTCTCTCGGTTTTGCGATGTGGACACGAAAAGAGGAAAACAAGTTATGGTGTAGGGAAATGAGCTAGGAAATTGATTGGTTTATGAAATGTATTGAATAGAAATATGGATTAAGCACTCAAAATATTAAATACTCAACTCGACCAATAATACCGGTGAAAGGTTGTTCATCATCGGGTTTGGTTTTGGGGAGACATTTTTAGGTGTCTACAGAAGCCCCCACTTTGACTGAGTTTCTAGAAACGTCAGTTTCCGAAACGATAGTCAAAGTAGTCGATAGGGACGGAGAATGATTTGAGATGTTCTGCAATCCTAAATCACTTTGTATACGCTGATACCTGCAGAAAGATGTTAGTTCCACAGATAAAGAGTAAAGGGATAGATTGCTTATCAGACACAAGTGTATTAGTGGCAAATATGTTCGATTGTATCTGACACCAGTGTATCGGTGACAGATGAGTTTGGTAGCTTTCTATGCTTGAAGAAATTTACGGGATGATTTTTATTGAGATACTTTCCATGCTTTAGGAAAGTCGACAGACAAATTTGACGATTTTCTATGCTTGAAGAAATCCGCCGGTTGAGATACTTTAATTTCCATGCTTGAGGAAAGTCGACAAATGAAATGATGGTTTTCTATGCTTGAAGAAATCCACCGGTTGAGATACTTTCCATGCTTGAGGAAAGTCGACAGATGATTTAATCTCTTACTTCTTCGCCTTAAGAGGTGGAAATGACCGACAATTTTCCATGCTTGAGGAAAACCTTGTCTGATGATGAGATTGCATGTCTCTGTGCACCGAGAACCTTGCGCCATGAAATGATAGTGGTTCGATTGTCCCCGAACGTGGGTTCTAGATGTTTTACACCTTTAAGTCGACTATCCGACTGTATTAGGTGATTAAAATATTGAAAATGTGATTTTAATGCTTGCTAGTGGCAAAATGGTAATTTAGGTACCATTTAAAAAGTCAGAATTTCCCGCGAGTTTTTGTTGAAGAAATAATTTGTTTGAAAAATGCGGAAACTTATTCGAACTGGTCAAAATACATATTATATTCGCTGAAATTTCGTGCATATATCGTGTCACATAGCTAAGTGTCGTGACACGACAAATCTTGGAGCGACACGGCACGCTTTGGGTGTGACACATTTCCTTTTCTTCCACTAAATTGGTCAAAGACTGCCAGAATATTCGCTGGTAGGTTCCTGGAGGTAGATTCCTGGAGGTGTGCCACGTGGTACAACGCCGTGACACGAGAATATCCGGCATCACGTGGCATAATATTGCGTGACGCGTTGCTGGTTTTTCTACTGAACCGGTCAGCATGGGCGAATTTTTCGATTTTTGCAACTTTGACTAACTGTTTTACCGTGTCATTTGGTATTTTACCGTGACATGGCACGAGTTACCGTGACAAGCTGTGGATTGTCGTGTCACGCTACTGTGTTGCTATTTAAATTCGAAAAAAGTCGCAGCTTCTTCTTTATTTCATTTGACTGTCATTTATCGCCATTTTTTCATGTTCTCGCATTTCTTCTTCTCTTTTTATTTTTATTTTTGTTTTTGCTCAAAGTACTGCGTCGCGGCGGGTTTGCATCGCGGCATGAACCATAACACCGTAAAAAGCGCCAGTGGCGGACCCAATTAAGTGACATGGGGGGACAGCTGTCCCCCCATTTTTAAAAAAAAATTTAAAAAAAAAAAGTGAAAAAAAAAAAAAAGCAAAACGCGACAGAACGAAGAACAGCACTCAGTCTACAGTCTTCACTCCTCCAATTCGCCATTGCCTCCACTAGTCCACTGAGATCGACCGTCGAGGCGTGCGTCGCTGCTCCACCAACCAGGCAACCACCGCCCTGCGTGCGTCGCTGCTCCTCAGTTCCTCACCAGTCTGCCAGTCACCACAGCACCACTTCGGCAAATCGGCAGTTCGGAAGCCACTTCACTAGCTGCGTGCGCCGCCTGCGCGCTGCCTACGCCGGTACGCCCTCATCGTCTGACCTTCGAGCCTCGGTCGTCTTCGCTTCATCAAATCCATCAATGGTATGTCTTGCTAACCCTAATTCGAAATTCCCAATTTGAAATCCCCAATTGTTAACCCTAATTTCCAGTTTTTTGTTGAATCATTGTTAATTTTAATTGCAATCTTTGTTGAATTTTTATTTTAATTGCAATTTTAATCTTAGGTTTTATTAGTATGCAATGATGTGAATTGTGGAAATTGATATATATTTTTCTATTTAATTAGGAAATGTCAAATGATTCACCTAATTCAAACAAATCCAAGCCTACTAGAAAACAACCCGATCTTCGACAATTCATGTTTAAAAGAAAGAAACTCCATGAAAATGAGTCCAATAACTCCCCTTCATTAAGCTGCCCTCAAAGTCAAGAAGATGATTTGAAATGGGTGGTTCAAGTACTTGTAATGTACCATTGGAGGAAAATTTGGTATACGATGTTGAACTTCTTCCTCATGATCCAGGAAAAAGTATAAACATAATGGATTACCCCCCAAATGAACGAAATGCAGTTAGGAGGGGTTATATTCTTAAAAAACCTTGCCAACCAAAAACACATGACTTTCCTCAAAGACAAGTGCCTGGTTTACATCGCTTTAGTGTTCATTGGTTCAAGAAATGGGATTGGCTTGAGTATAGTATTGAAAAAGATGCCGCATTTTGTTTTGTATGTTACTTGTTCAAGAATGAAGTTGATAGTTATTCGGGGGGTGATGCATTTGTTGATGGAGGGTTTAGGGCATGGAATAAACCGGAAAGATTTGAGAAGCATGTTGGTGGAATTAACAGTGCTCATAATCTTGCTTATGAGAAATATGTGAATTTAAGAGATGGAAAAAAAATCAATCTTGAATGTGTTTGACAATGCAAGTGAGGTGATTAAAAGTGAATATTTTATCCGCTTGAATGCATCTTTAACTTGTTTAAGATTTCTTTTGGGGCAAGGTTTGGCATTTCGTGGACATGATGAAAGCGGGGAGTCATATAATAGGGGTAATTTCCTTGAGCTTTTGAAATGGTTAGGAGAATAGGTTGAGGAAGTAAGACAACATACTCTTGAAAATGCAACTAAAAATTGTCAAATGATTTCTCCTTCTATTCAAAAGGACATTATTAATTGTTGTGCCAAAGAAACAACTAGGTGCATAATAGAAGAAGTTGGTGATGATTACTTTGCGATATTAGCCGATGAGTCAAGTGATGTGTCCCAAAAAGAAAAAAATAGCTCTTGTTTTACGATTTGTTAATAGAGATAGTGGAAAGGTAATGGAGCGATTTTTAGGCATTGTTCATGTTGGTAATACTACCGCTTTAACTCTTAAAGATGCAATCATGTCTTTACTTGTTGAACATTCATTGAGTCCATCTATGATAAGAGGGCAAGGGTACGATGGAGCTAGCAACATGAAAGGTGAAATAAATGGTCTTAGGACTTTGATTATGAATGATACTCCAAGTGCCTACTACATACATTGTTTTGCTCATCAACTTCAACTAACACTAGTTGTCGTTGCTAAAAAGAATGATAGTTGTGGTTGGCTTTTTGAGATACTTGCAAATTTATTGAATGTGGTTGGAGTTTCTTGCAAGAGAAGAGAAATGATTCGACAAGATCAAGCTCAAGAAGTTGCTCGAGCATTGGATGTAGCGGATATTGTGAGTGGATCGGGTTTAAATCAAGAACTTGGTTTGAAAAGGCCCGGGGATACTCGTTGGAGTTCTCATTACAAGTCTCTTTCAAACATCATTATCTTATTTCCTACAATTGTTAAGGTACTTGTACACATTGGGAAGCATGGTGTATCGGAAGATAAGTTAATAGCTCAAATTGTTTTAGGACAATTAGAGTCATTTGACTTTGTTTTTATTGCTTACTTGATGTTGACTATTTTTGGATACACTAATGATTTGTGTGTTTCTTTGCAAAGAAAGGAGCAAGATATTGTAAATGCCATGGAACTTGTCACTTACACAAAAATGGTGTTGCAAAAAATGAGGGAGCAAGGATGGGATACTCTCTTAAACAAGGTAACTTCATTTTGTGCTAAACATGGTATTGTTGTTCCCACTATGGATTCTCCTTATGTTCCTCAAGGAAGATCAAGACGTTTTGTTGAAGAAGCAACAAATCAACATAATTTTCGGGTTTGAATTTTTTTAAGAGTGATTGATTTGCTTCTTCAAGAACTTGATGATCGATTTAATGAGAGGAATATGGAGATACTAATATGTATGGCTTGTTTAAGTCCTAAAGATAACTTCTCATCCTTTGATAAAGATAAGGTACTTAAACTTGCCTCTTTTTATCCCGAAGAATTTTCAAGCTTTGATTTGATGACTCTTAAATGTCAACTTGATATATTCATGGAGAATATGCTAAATGATGAAAGATTTCAAGGTTTAAATGACCTTAATTCTCTTTCTATGATGCTTGTTAAAACTAATAAGCATAAGACTTTTCCTCTTATTTATTTGCTTATCAAGTTGATGTTGATTCTTCCGGTTGCCACGACAAGTGTTGAAAGAGTCTTTTCCGCAATAAGTTGCGAAATAGCATGGGTGATCAACTTATGAATGATTGTTTGGTCACTTTTATTGAGAAGGATGTCTTCTTAAGAGTTTCCGATGAAAAAAATTAATGATCGCTTCCAAAATATGAAGACTCGAAGGATGAAAGTGTAATTTTAATGTAACGTTTATGTAAATTTTTTTCATCATTTTGAATTGTATGACTAAGTATGTTTTTTATTTTAGAAATTTTAATACTAAGTATTAACCAATTTGTGTGTTTGAGTTTTTTTTTTGTTTTTATTTTTTGTTAAGCTTTTTGTAAGTTAAGCATTTTGTCCCCCCGAATTGAAAATCCTGGATCCGCCACTGAAAAGCGCATGAGAAAACTGCAAAAATGACACGGAATAAGCACCGTGTCACAGTATATGTACCATCTGCCGTACCACGTCAGATATTGCCGCGATGCGGCAATTTTTCTATTGCGCGGCAATTCCAGTTTTTTACGCGTTTTTAAAATTATTATAACTTTTGATCTGTAACATAGAATAAAGAATATAATATATCGTTGGAAAAATTTCAAGTCTATTTTTTAACCCAATTGGAGTCAGGTACAAATCATTTATAGATTTTAATATATGGTTGTTTTAGTGAAAGGGTGTCGATTTTGGGTTGAGTTTAGTATTTTGCTCATATCTTCTTCGTTTTAAATCGAAATTGGGCTTATGATATATTGTTGGAAAGATTATTCCAAGGCCTATCTTAACTAATAATAATCGGATCAAAATTATAAGGCAAAAAAATCAGTTTCTCTCGGTTTTGCGATGTGGACACGAAAAGAGGAAAACAAGTTATGGTGAAGGAAATGAGCTAGGAAATGGATTGGTTTATGAAATGTATTGAATGGAAATATGGATTAAGGACTCCAAAGATTAAATACTCAACCCAACTAATAATGGTGGTGAAAGGTTGTTCATCATCAGGTTTGGTTTTGGGGAGACATTTTTAGATGTCTACAGGTGAAGAATTCGCTACTGAGAAAGAAGTAAGTCGCCTAGTGTAAGGAGGGTGTTCCCATTGTAAGGGATCCTTCTCCTTAAATTCCCCTGTCCTTTTAAAAGCCTAGGAATTTACGCCTGTTGGAGTGTATTAGGATTTGAATTCTTGACTGTTTAGGAGACCTTGAATTAGAAATGACACTCTCATCACGCTTTTTTGTAAGAAACAAGTAGGAGTGGCCAATGAGTTTTAGGAAAACTCATAAACCTCGTTAATGCCTTTCTCCCATGCGGAGTTCATGGGATAATTAGAATGAATCGTAAGTTCAACCATGCCCAAATTGTTCTACAAAAACAAGAAATGAGTTCGGGAGCGAGGGTACTAAAATAGGTTCCCTTTAGAGGAGAATAGATGTTCTAGCCCTAGTGCGGCCTCTACTAGCTCTTCCTTTTTCTTAATTTCATTACCAAACAATATATGAAATGTGATACAGAAAGACTAAGTTAGTTGATTTTATTTACAAGCATTAATCACGTACGAATTACATTGCAAAAGTCATTATTCTTTGTTTAATAAATATTCGTGTAAAGAACAAAATAAACAATAGTCGCCTTGTCTTAAGTGATAAAACAACAAAAAACTATCAAATTCTAGTCTTGATTAAACGAAAGAATACTATATGAATTAATATATTAAAATTTTGTTTAAAGTGATCAAATAACACTATTTATTCAATTAAAGTTATTTAAACAATAAAAGAAAAGTGATTTATCTAAGTCCTCAGGAAACTAATTGTTCTTCTTTGTAGGCTTAGATCTCCGTCTTGGATGTTTATGGAACTTCTTTATTCTTTGTACCTCCAAGGGCTTCAATGGATTCAATTAGGGTTGATGATTAGTTAGGAAGAAAGAGGAAAAAGTAGTATGATAGTAAGAGGGTTTGAGAGAGATTAGGGTTTTCAGAATTAGGGGTTTAGAATTCTGATTTTTCTGTCCATGTAATGCTGAACGAAGACCCCTATTTATAGGTGTAGGAATCTAGGTATAGGGTTTTAAGGTCGCACCGTCAGGTGACACGCACAATTGTCTGAGTCGCGCTGGGTGCCGCCCGCAACTTATTGAGTTGCGCTGGTTTGCGGTTTGCCTTATACGAAAACGCGTTTTTATAACTTTTGACTGCGGAGTCGGGTTAAGGCGTGAAAGATATAATTGGAAAGCTCTTAATGTCTAATTTCCAATTCCATTGTAGTTAGGTTAAAATCAGTTATGGATCAAAATATATGGCCATTGGAGTGTAAGGGTGTCGGTTATAGGGCTCAGTTTAGTGTTTTGATCATAACTTCTTCGTTTTAACTCAGAATTGGGCTCATAATATATCGTTGAAAAGATCTTTTAAAGGTCTATCCATATGTATAGGCCATGAACGGAAATGTAATGATATTCTATATGTTTGGCTCGTTTTTCAACAATGTATGATCCATTAGATCGATTCATTGCATTTGCTGCATTTGGGTTCGTTATTAATCAAGTTTAAACATGTATGAGTACGTTTTAGGCCTAATTAGTAATCGGACAAGGCTCTAAGATTAATTGGTCTCAAATATGAGTTTTAACTTACTTCATAATGCATTTTGAAGTCCATAAACACTTCAACTTTTATCTAACATGAAGAACGGATTTTTGTAACATCATCGCACTTCCTTTCGGGACAAGAGGACAAAATTAGGTGTCTATATTTAGCCCCTACTTTGATCAATTCTAGAATAGAAAATGATCAAATTAGTCAAGGAAATAAATCCGAGACTCATTCTGCGAAGTTCTCAAAGAATAGAGAATCTTTCAGAAATGTTAAGGATGTCGAAACGATCCTTGATTCGCTAAGTGTTCGAGACAAGTAGCTATTAAGGCAAGAAAAATTATCTCCTAGTATTAGTGCGCTAAAGAATCTAGATTGATCCTTTGCAAATGTAGAACACTTTCACAAGTAATGATGTTCTGGGTAATGTCATGTCATGAGAAGAAATCAGTTTAAAAAGGATTAAAAGGGGATGAATGTCCTCCCAATCATGTCATCGTTGGTCTAAAGTCCCTCGATACGTCATTGAAACTTTATTCTGATTTTAACAATTTGAAAAGATGTAAAAAGTGTTTCGGCTTTCGCAGCCTTTTGGATTTTGTAGCCTGAATGTTTTGGCTTTCACAGCCTGAATAAAGTTCTCGACAATTCTCTTGTAGAAATGCAATACTCGGTGTCCACAAGATAGAAATACAGGTCTAAAAACTGGTGGCAAATATCCAAATCCAATGAGAGAGAAGAAAATCGGCAACTCTCTCAGCAGTTTTGTCCACAAGATGA